GAGAAGGAGAAGGAGGAGGAGGAGGAGGAGGAGGAGGAGGAGCAGGAGGAGGAGGAGGGTGGGAGGATAAGGAGGAGGAGGAGGCAGATGATGCAGCGGAGGGCGAGGAGAAGGAGCAGGAGGAGGAGGAGGATGAGGAGGAGCAGGAGCAATATGAGCAAGAGGTGCAGGAGGAGCAGGGGGAGCATGAGGAGCAAGCAGGAGCATAAGCAGGACATGCAGGCGGTAACGGCTGCATATAAGCAAATGGAAAGTGCTGCACGAGTGTGAGACGAAAGTTTGACTCCAGTTCCTTGCCGGGCCCATGGATCCCTCAGGTCTGGATGGTGTGCGAACCCTCCGCCGCCGCCGCCCCCGCCGCCGCCGTCGTCGTCGTCGCCGCCGTCGTCGTCGTTGTCGTCGCCCCGCTCAGCCGGCCCGCCGGCCGGCTCGGCTCGGCTTGGCTCGGCTCGGCGGAGGATGAGGAAGAGGAGGGGGGGGGGGGGGGCAGGAGGAGGAGGAGGAGGAGAGCGAGGAGCCGGGGGTGGAGGAGGAGGAGGAGGAGGACATGGGGGAGGACGGGGAGCAGCAGGCGTTCGCAACCCGCGTCTCGGGCTGCATGCCGGCGAACAGCATCCAGGCTCCGCCGAGCGGCGATTAGCCTGTGGTATTCGCCTGCGGTATTTGTCTACGGGCCTGGCTCCGCCGAGCGGTAGCTCGCCTGTGGTATTCGCCGTTGGGGCTCGCCTGTCGCATTAGCCTGTGGCATTCGCCTGCGGTATTTGTCTACGGGCCTGGCTCCGCCGAGCGGTCGCTCGCCTGTGGTATTCGATTCGCCATTGGGGCTCGCCTGTCGCATTGGCCCGTGGTATTCGCCTACGGAATTCGCAGAGCCTGTGGTGCAAGTGGTGCAACAGACCCGAGTGACCCAACTGACGGAATTCGCCTAGGCGAATAACCCAGTTGCCCCAAGTTGTGCAACTGACCCAACTGACCCAAGCGGTGCAATCGCACTGGGTCAAGTTACCCAATTGGCCCGAGTGTTGCAACGGGCTCGCCTGCCGCATTCGCCTGTGGTATTCGCCGACCCTGTGGTACAGTGGGGGCGCGTGCCAAGAAACCATTTGGATTTTGCCAGGGTGTCCCGGGTTTCTTGGGTTTCGATAGGTTCCCATTGAAAACCCAACGGTCCCCGATGGAAACGTAAGATCTTCAGCCAAGGATGGCGGACATCAGGGTTTGGTTTCTTGCGGAGGTTTCTCGTGGCCGAGCCCTCGCTGTATTAGTCGCCGGGCTTGGCTCCGCCAAGCATCTGTGTCATTCGCCTGTGGTACTCGCCTGTGGTATCCGCCTGTGGTATCCGCCGAGCAGGCGAACACCACAGGCTAATTCAATCAGCTTGTGGTATTCGCTTGCGGAGTCCTGCGAGGTCCTGCTGGGCCCTACTGCTCCTCCCCGGGGGGGGGGGGGGCTTCTGGGGGGGAGGAGGCTTCTGGGGGGGGCGGTCTGGGGGGGGGGGGCCCTGGGGGGCGGCCTTTGGGCGGGGCGGCCCGGGGGGGGGGGCGGCCGGGGGGGGCCGGCCTGGCGCGGGGGGGGGGCGGCCTGGTCCTACTGCTACTCCTGCTCCTGCTGCTTCTCCCGCTCCTCGTCCTCTTATTCTGCTCCAGCTCCTCCGCGTCGCCATCGTGGCTCAAGCCGCTCGGTGTTGCCCTTGGTTGCCAGTTGCCGGTTCGTCCGAGGCTGGTCTCCCAGGCGCCCGATGGCGCTTTACAAGTGCTCTTGCGACGCGTGTGAAAAGCCGCTGGTCAAAAGCACGGCGCACGTGAAGCACTTGAGGGGTGGCGATTCGCAGGGGCACCGGCCGTTCACGTGCAAAGGTTGCTACGAGGACGAGGACGAGTACGATACCAAGTACACGGAGAAGGAGTGGAGGAAGATGTGCAAGGTGTTTCTGCCATTAATATTGCCAGAGTCCCCCCCCTGTGGATCAGCCACCCGCCGACTGGGGAATCTGGGTTTGGGGCAGGGCGGTCAATGGTCCGGGGCTGGGGGGGGGGGGGGGTCGGGCCCCTAGGCGCGCTGGTCGGAGCTTCAGGGGGTCATCGAGGACAGCGCGAGGCGGGCCCGCGTGAAGACGTGGGCGGAGATCGAAGACTCGGTCCCCCGCGACTACCCTGACGCCTCCCGGTCCCAGCGCCGCAAGGCCACGCTCTTCGCCATCCAGAAGGCCCCCCCAGAGCAGAGGCGCCAGTTCGAGCAGAGGCGCCAGTTCGAGCAGAGGCGCCAGTTCGAGTGGGAGAAGAAGGTGGCTGACCCCGAGTACGTGCCCGAAGTGGGGGCTTCCAAGATGTCGGACCACGCGGCGCAGTGGGCCTCGGAGATCGTTGAAGGTCTGTCGGGGCATTTCGTCTGCAGGCACTCCTCGGCACGCTTCGGCGCGCTCATCAACAAGTTCAATGAGATCACAGCGAACCTGGAGCAGTGGAGGGTCGTTTGCCGGGAGTTGCAGGCCAAGGCGGCGCCCACCCTCATGACGCTCAGTGCGACGATGCGCTCGCCTTGGCGGTACTTGGATCCGTTCGCGTGGAGCAAGTGGCCCCCGCGCCAGTATCCCTCCCGCTTGTGAGGCCGCGAGCGGCGCCCCTGGCAGCCAGTTGCCGGTTCGTCCGAGGCCGGTCTGCCCGGGGCGCGCGCGCGCGCGCGCGCCGGCTCAACCACATTGCTTCTTTGCGCGGCGCCCCTGGCAGCCAGTTGCCGGTTCGTCCGAGGCTGGTCTGCCCGGGGCGCGCTCGCGCGCGCGCGCGCGCGCGCGTCCGCCGGCTCAACCACATTGCTTCTCTGCGCAGCGCCCCTGGCAGCCAGTTGCCGGTTCGCCCGAGGCTGGTCTGCCTGGGGGCGCTCGCGCGCGCGCGCGTCCGCCGGTTCAGCCACTTTGCTTGTCTGCGCAGCGCGCGCTGGCCGCGTTATTTTACTTTTCCTGCGCAGCTCCCCTTAGCAGCCAGTTGCCGGTTCGTCCGAGGCTGATATGCGCGGGGGGAGCGCGCGCGCCGGCCCCGTTACTTCACTTCTTCTGCGCGTTGCCGCGGCGCAGAGGATCTCTCTGATTGTCGTCGTCTTGCTCCTGCACCTGCTCCGGCTCCTCCTCCTCCTCCTCCTCCTCCTGCCCCCCCTCCTCCTCCTCCGCCTCCTCCTCCTCCTGTTCCGTCTCTGCATCGAGTTCCGCCCCCGGGCGCAGATTGCTGGCGACGCGGCGCCCATGGGCGCCCGTGGCTGGAGGGGGCAAAGAACGCACCCCCCCCCTTCCGCCCTTCCGCCTGTTCGGTCGTCCGTCGTCGCCGTCGCTGCCCAGGATGGGAGGGGGGCGGGAGGATGCAGGAGGAGGGGGAGAAGGAGGAGGAGGAGGGGGAGGAAGGAGGAGGAGGAGGAGGAGGAGGAGGAGGAGGAGGACGACGACGACGACCCCGCTGCGCCCCTGCGGCGCCCTGGCCCGCCGCGCCCTGGCCAGCGGCGAGGTGTCTCGCTGCCTCCATCATCTCTGTCCTCGTCGTCGTCGTCGTCGTCGTCGTCGCGGTCTCGGCCGCCGCCCAGGCCGGGCCTGGCGGCGCCGGGCGCAGGTTAAAACTCGTCCTCCAATTGGTCATGCACAAGAGGAGGAGGAGGAAGAAGAAGAAGAGGTGGCGGCGGGGGAAGAGGGGGAGGAGGAGGCGGCGGCAAGGGAAGGGAGAGGAGGAGGAGGGAAGGAGGGAGAGGAGGAGGAAAAGAACCAGAAGCCTTTTGAGCCTCTCGGAGTTTCCTCGGATGGCTCCTAGATTTTTTGGGGGGGCATCTTCGGGCGTCTGGGGGGCGTCTTGGCGGGCCCAGTGGCGCTTTTGAGCGTCTTGGGTGCCTCGGGCTGGTCCCCATCTGAGAAGAGATATCCCTCCCCCCCGGTTCCGTCCCTTCAGTCGTTCGTCGTCGCCGTCACTGTCCAGGATGGGAGGGGAACATGAGGACGCAGGCGGAGGGTGCGGAGGAGGAGGAGGAGGAGGAGGAGGAGGACGACGACGACGACGACGACGACCCCGCTGCGCCCCGGCGGCGCCCTGGCCGGCCGCGCCCTGGCCAGCGGCGAGGTGCCTCGCTGCCTCCATCATCTCTGTCCTCGTCGTCGTCGTCGTCGTCGTCGTCGTCGTCGCGGTCTCGGCCGCCGTCCAGGGCGGGCCTGGCGGCGTCGGGCGCCGCGAAAAGCCCCAGGGTCATTTCCCATGTTTATGTTTTTTTCCCCCTCCGCGGCCGCGAGGCTTGAAAACGGCCTCCCGAGGCCCCCTCCTCCTCCCGCCGCCGCCTCCGCCGGGTCGTCGCCGTCGCCAGAGGGCCGTAAAGGGCCTTGAGGGGGCCGCGCCCTGGCCAGCGGCGAGGTGCCTCGCTGCCTCCATCATCTCTGTCGTCGTCGTCGTCGTCGCGGTCTCGGCCGCCGCCCAGGGCGGGCCTGGCGGCGTCGGGCGCCGCGAAAAGCCCCAGGGCCACTTCCCATGTTTTTGTTTTTTCCCCCCCCTCCGCGGCCCCGAGGCTTGAAAACGGCCTCCCGAGGCCCCCTCCTCCTCCTCCTCCCGCCGCCGCCGCCGCCGGGTCGTCGCCGCCGCCAGAGGGCCCCAGGGGGCCGTAAAGGGCATTAGGGGGGCCGCGCCCTGGCCAGCGGCGAGATCCCGGGGCCCGTCGCCGTCGTCGTCGTCGTCGTCGCCCCCTCGGGGACCCCTTCCTCCTCCTCCTCCTCCTCCTCCTCCTCCTCCTCCTCCTCCTTCTCACCCTGGGTTCATCCTTCGCCTTCTGCTCATCCTGCTCCTCCCGCTCCTCCTCCTCCTCCTGCTCCTCCTGCTCCCCCCATTGCTTCTCCTGCTGCCCCTTCGCCTCATCATCCTTCTTCTCCTCGTCCTACTTGTCGCCACATTGAATCAAGCCATTCGGCGAGGTCCCTGGCGGCCAGTTGCCGGTTCGTCCGAGGCTGGTCGCCAGGGGGCGGCCCTCGCTGGCAATTCTCCGCCATGTCGGCGGCGCCCAAGTACGCATGCGACGTGTGCGCGAAGCCGCTCGTGAAGAGCACGGCTTATATTCGCGGCCACGGCGGGCCCTTGTCTCTCGATTGGCAGGGGCACCGGCCTGTCATCTGCCTGGGGCACTTCGAGGTCGACGGCGACGGCGAGAAGCCCTCGGAGAAGGATTGGAGGAGGATGTGCAAGGCGCTTCTGCCCGCCGATGAGAAAATCTGGGTTGGGGGCACGGGGGGGAAAGGTCCGGGGCCGGGCGAGGAGGGCGTTCGGAGCCCCAGGCGCGTTGGCTGGAGCTCGAGGGGCACATCGAGGAGAGCAACAAGCGAGCCAGGGTCAAAGACTTTGCAGACATTGAGAAGTCGATCCTCAAGGACTACCCAGATCTGTCTAGGGCCGAGCACCGCAAGCAGATCTTGTTCTGCATCCAGGAGGTGGGGCGGCGCGTGGCCGTGGGAGTCATCAGCGCCTCCCCAGAGAAGCGCCGGATGTACGAACAGGCCTTCAAGGAGTTCGACGAGGAGTGGCAGAAGAGGGTGGCTGACCCCGAGTTCGCGCCGCCCGCGCGGGCGTTCAAACTGTCGGACCACGCGGTGCAGTGGGCCCACGAGATCGTGGAGGGGGTTTCGGAGTTCTTCATTTGCCGGCACCGGGATTGCGGCCTGGTTGCCAGGAACACCGATTGGATGATCAAGGACGCGGAGCACTACGGGTGCGTCGGGTGTCTGAGACAGTACCAGCCGTGGAAGCAGGGGGGCAACTTAGTGAAGGCCGCAAGGGCGGATTTCGCAAGAAGGGGCGGTGCCCCGTGAACATGCGCCTCCGTTTCCGCTGGTTTTTGAACAAATCTCCCGCGGGCCCCAGTCGGGATGCCCCGGGTGGTCGGGTGTGTCGCGAGGGTCGGGCGGTCCGCGATGGGCCGAACTGGGCTGTCCAGGAGGGTCGGGCGGCCCCTCCCTCCTCGCCCGAAGGCCAACAAGATCCTCGTCGTCGACCTCGAGGACAGCGAGGCTGGTGACGCGCAGCAGGCGGTGGACGTTGGAGCCAACTTGGCAGAGTCTGCCGGCGGCCAGCGGTTCTTGCTGCACCCCTTCGAGTGGCCGGACACCACCGTCACCAACCTCATCAATAAGATGAAGGAGGTCACGGCGAGCTTGGACGCGGTGCTCGACGACGTGCCCGAGAAGGAGCAGTGGAAGCACGTCTGCCACGAGCTCCAGGCCAAGGCGGCGCCGGGCCTCATGACCCACAAGACGTTGCCCCATCAGAAGATCAAGGAGATCTGGGAGAAGAACGCGCAGATGAACTCGCCCTGGCGCTTCGACCACATCGCGGACAGCGAGTATTATGCCTTCAGTTTGCAGGACCACGCCGTGCAGAACCTTGACAACCCCCTGAGCCAGCACGAGGTTTTGTCCATCTTCGCGCGGAGCAAGTGGCTCCTGCACCAGTTCCCGTCTCGCTTGTGAGATCGCGAGCGGCGCCCCCGGCAGCCAGTTGCCGGTTCGTCCGAGGCTGGTCTGCCCGGGGGCCGCGCGTGCGCCGGCTCGGTTTCGTTTCATTCCGCCGCGCCCTTGGCAGCCAGTTGCCGGTTCGTCCGAGGCTGGTCTGCTGGGGGCCGCGCGCGCGCCGGCTCGGTCTCCCTCTAGTTCCGCCGCGCCCCTGGCAGCCAGTTGCCGGTTCGTCCGAGGCTGATCTGCCATGGGAGCGCGCGCGCACGCTGGCCCCGTCGCCCGGCTTTTCAGCGCGACGCCCCCGGCCGCCAGTTGCCGGTTCGTCCGAGGCTGGTCTGCCGGGGGGCGCGCGCGCGGCTACCGGGCCACATTGTTTTGCAGCGCCCGTGGCGGCCAGCCGCTGGTTTGGCCCCCCTCCGCGAGTTTTCTGCGCCAGCTGGCCAAGTCGGGCCTTAATGTCAGAAAGCGGCTGGCGGTCATCGCGACGGTGGATTCCAGTGTGCAGCGCGGCCGCGTTGCGCTGAGCATAAAGGGCAGGAGTGCGCAGAGTCCCGGTAAACTGCGGCCCGACGGGGCCCCTTATAGATCTCGGCAGGAAGCCGTCGTCGTCGTCGTCGTCGTCGACGTCGTCGTCGTCGTGAGTGCTCGGACTCTGGCTCGGACTCATCTGCTTTTCGACCTCTGCCCTCTGGGCCGCGAGGTCGCCAGGTCTCTGTGCATGCGTCTCCCCTTTGGGCCGCCTGCCACTTGGGTTTTCGGGCTTTTATGCCCCTCTGGCCCTGCGTCAAAACCCCCCCGCGTCTTGATGCTGTGCAGGTCCCCCTGCACGCAGTGTTTTCACGGCCGCGCTGTCGCCGTGCACTGCTCGGTCGCTCTCTGCGCCCGTCTCATGACAGCTGGATTGCTCGCGGGCAAAACAAAATCGTCGTCGTCGTCGTCGGCGGCGGCGCCGTGCTCCTCGTCGTCGTCGTCGTCCTGGGAGCCGGGGGGCCCCGGAACCCGTCGTCGTCGTCGTCGTCGTCGACGTCGTCGTTCCAGGGGGTCGAGGGACCGCGGGGGGGGTCGAGGGACCGCGGGGGGGGGGTCCCGGGACCCGGGGGGGAGATCCTGGGGCCCGTCGTCGTCGTCGTCGTCGTCGTCGTCGTCGTCGTCTTCGTCGTCGTCGTCCTCACCCCCTGCCAAGAAAGGGCCCCTAAAAAATGAACGCCTCTGCTGATTTTCAGGGGCTGCGCCCTGGCAGTCGTCGTCGTCGTCGTCGTCGTCGCGTCGTCGTCGCTGCCGCCGCCGTCGTCCTCGCCGCCGTCGTCGTCGTCCTGGTCTTCCTCCTCGTCCTCCTTGTCCTCGTCGTCGTCCCTCCCGCTCCCCTCCCGCTCCCTCCCTTTCCCTCCGCTCCTCCCCCTCTCTCCCCATCTCTCCCCCTCTCTCCCCCTTCTCCTCCTCCTCCTCCTCCTCCTCCTCCCCCTTTCTCCTCCTCCTCCTCCTTCTCCTCTTCCTTCTCCTCCTCCTCCTCCTCCTTCTCCTCTTCCTCCTCCTCCTCCTCCTCCTCCTCCTCCTCCTCCTCCTCCTCCTCCTTTGGGGCGCGGCGAGGCGCGGCGAGGCGGGGCAAGAGCCGCCCTCCCCCCCCCTCCTCGCTACGGGGCGACCTGCTCGCAGCTGGAGCAGAGACGGGGCGGCCTAAAATCAGACGGCCCCGGGGGGGTGTTATACGGCCCCGGGGAGGTGGCATACGGCACCGGGGAGGTGTTATACGGCCCCGGGGAGGTGTTATACGGCGCCGGGGAGGTGTTATACGGCCCAGGGGAGGTGTTATACGGCCCCGGGCAGGTGTTATACCGCCCCGGGAGGTGTTGCACGGCCCCGGGGAGGTGTTATACGGCCCCGGGGAGGTGTTACACGGCCCCGGGGAGGTGTTATAGTGCCGGGGGGGGGGGGGGCACGGCCCCGGGGAGGTGTTATACGGCGCCGGGGAGGTGTTATACGGCCCCGGGGACGTGTTATACTGCCCCGGGGAGGTGTTATACGGCCCCGGGGGGGTGTTATACGGCCCCGGTGGGGTGTCATACGGCCCCGGACGGTGTAACAGTGATAACTGCACTGCGCATTGCGTTATGTCGAGCGCTCTTGTGCCATCTTGGTCGCGATCTGGAGCCATGTTGTGCGATCTCAGAGGTCACGTTCAGCCAGCTTGTTTTTTTTTATTTTTTTTTGTTTATTTATTTTTTTTTTTAAGAAAGAAAAAAAAAAAAAAAAAAAAAAAAAACTAGGGTGTCATCGTTGCGCTGTGCTGAGTTGAAGGCAACCGAGGAGGAGGAGGAGGAGGAGGAGGAGGAGGGGGAGGAGGGGGAGGAGGAGGAGGGGGAGGAGGAGGCGGAGGAGGAGGAGGGCCGGCCTCGCGGCCCTGGGGTCCAGTGCTCTCCCGGCACGCTTCTCCTCCGGGGAGGGTACCGCGTGGTCAGGTGGAAGCCGCAGATCGCCGCAGATCGTCTTGGCAGGGGTCGAGAGCTCCGGGGAGCGATCGAGAGATCCGGTGCGGGGTCGAGAGCCCCGGGATGGGCTCGAGCGTCCCGGGATGGGGTCGAGAGCTCCGGGGCGGGGAAGAGAGCCACTCATTTGCCGAGAACGGGGGCCTCGAAGCATCTTCCGGCCGCCGGAAGATGCCCCCTTCCCCGCCGGCGGGGAATTTGAGGCATCTTCCGGCCGCCGGAAGATCCCTCATTGCCCAGCGGCGGGGGGCTTGAAGCATCTTCCGGCGGCCGGAAGATGCCCCCTTGCCCGCCGGCGGGGAATTTGAGGCATCTTCCGGCCGGTGGAAGATCCCTCATTGCCCAGCGGCGGGGGGGCTTGAAGCATCTTCCGGCGGCCGGAAGATGCCCCCTTGCCCGCAGGCGGGAGGCTTGGGGCATCTTCCGGCCGCCGGAAGATCCCTCCTTGCCCAGCGGCGGGGGGCTTCAATCATCTTCCGGCGGCCAAGGGCCCACATCTTGAGGACCCGGTCCCGCGCAGGGTTTCTCGACACAACGTTGCCCCCTCGGACCGGCCAGCCTCCCCCCCCCCAGCCCCGCGCTTTCCAATGCACCCCTCCGTCCGCAGACGTTTGGGCTCCGAGGGCGCGGGTCGCGCCCGCGCTGCCCGTGCCGTGCGCGCGGCCACCGGCGCGCGCGTGGCCACCGGCGCGCGGCCGCCGGCGCGCGGCCACCAGCTGGGGGAGGGCAGCGATGTCTGCGTCCTATGCTGCGCGGTCCCAGCGGTGGTCACTCACCTTTGCTGGGCCAGGGCAGGCCGCCAAAGCGGCGGAGGCCTTGCGGATCGCCAACGACAAGCTCCGTTTCCTGTCACAAGGTTGTCCAGTTAGCGCCCAGGGCTCTGATGTTACCCTAGCCTGGCAGAAGGAGGTCAGAGGCAAGAGCGTCGTGGACTTCCTGTACAAGCGATGCCCTGGAGAGTTTGGCCATGGCGGCAAATGCTACCCGTGGACTTTCAAGACTGCTGCTTCGCGGAATCCAGTGCTTCAGGGCACGGGAAGCCCTGGGCTTGCGCCACCAGGCGCGATCTCAGCGGCCGATCGGGCCTCAGCGCAGGTACACGAAGGGAGTAGCTATGTCGCTCTGCCAAGCGAGTACTCGCTGGACGCCTCACAGTGGTACGCCGGCAATGGCCAAGGTGGCTTGGTTGCCCTTTCGCTTCTGGAAAAAGAGGGCTTTGTTGTGCTACGCAAATTCCTGCCGGAATACATGTACATGCCGGCCTTCAGGGATGCTGAGAATTATTTCTTGAAGGTCTTGCGCTCCTTCGCTGGTGGCCACGCCATTGACTCCATCGATGACGTGCGCAAATTGCACGGCAAGGTCTGGGAGAACAACGGTGGTGAGACATTCACCCCGTATGCGGTGGAGCAAAGCTGGGGTTGCAGGGCCAGTCGCGGCTACCAGAAGCAGCTGGGGATGGGCAAAGCTCTCTCAGAGAAGGTCTTCCAGGAGTATCCCAGTGTCATGGCGTGCCAGCATTACTTGCGCCAGTACGCGGCGCTTTTACACAAGTGCTTGCCCGAGGAGCTCTGTTGGAGGCCCGATGGTGTGTCGATTAAGGGGCGTGGCGCAGAGGCGGCCCCGCCACGCAGAGACTCTGGCGACCATGGTCGCTTCCAGTGCGTGCTGGCGTTGGCCCCGGGCGCATTCGACGTTTGGCCGAGGAGCCATGTCTTGGAGATGCGCGGGCACGACCACCACCACCTGTCTGCGGACGACATGGCGCACTTGCGATCGAACAGCCGCCAGTTGGTCTTCGCATGCGATCCCGGCGATGTGTTGATCTTCTTGGGCGGGTTGCGTTTCCATGGTTCGCCGCGTGTTGCCGCTGGCGACCCAAGTCCTCGGATCATGACTTACGCGACATTTTGGCCGCCGGACACGGCCAAGGGCGCCGATCACGCCGTAGGTCGATGCGCTTGCTGCTTGCCATACAAGCGGAAGCGCGTCGAGATGCATGCGTGATCGGCGGGGATGCTCGGCCTCGGGGCGCAAGGATGCTCCGGGCCGCCTGGGAGCGCGGCCACCGGCTGCAGACCAGCCCAGGCCAGCCGCCTGCCCTCGGCTGCCACGCAGGTGTGAGGCCTCCTGCCTCCTGCCTCCTGCCTCCTGCCTCCTCCTCCTGCCTCCTCCTGCCTCCTCCTCCTCCTCCCTCCTCCTCCTGCCTCCTCCTCCTCTTCCCCCCTCCTCCTCCTCCTCCTCTTCCTCCTCCCTGGGAGCGCCGCCGGCCGCCGCTCGGCCTGGGACCGGCCGCGCGCGTGCATGGCCGCTCGCCCCCGGCTCGTCGGCACTGCGGCCGCTCGCCCCCGGCTCGTCCACATACTGGAGCCCCCCTTCCTTGCCATTCTGCGCCCTGCCCGCGGCCCAACGGAAGCTCTTCTTCCCTTGGGGGGCGAGGGCTGGGTAATTATCCAGTGCTCTGGCGACGTATTTTAAATATTCTTTTAAAATCGGCGACAAGGTCGCCTTGCTTGTGTCAGGCACATACAC